TGATTTAACAAATATTGAAAGGATAGGTGAAGGTGGGTTTGCAACTATATACAAAGCTACTTGGTTAAATGGTGCTAAAGATGTAAATTATAATAATGAAAGGACTAACAAAGATAGGACTGTGGCATTAAAAAAACTACATAATTCACAGAATATTTCTGGTGAATTTCTTAATGAGGTAAATAAATTATTTTTATTTTTCTATTTATTTTCAGATTTTTTAAATATTATTGTTGTAATTAAATATTTTATTTGTTGTTTTAGTTCAAAAATTATATGAAATTTCTTCCTGATGAAAATTATATAATTCATATTTATGGATTAACACAAGATCCAATTACAAAAGAATACATATTTGTGATGAATTATATAAAAGATGGAAGTCTTCAAAATTATTTAACTAAAGATTTTAAAAATTTAAAATGGGAAAACAAAATTGGAATTCTTTATTTTATTATTAATGGTTTACAAGTTATTCATGAAAAAGAATTTATTCATCGTGATCTTCATAGTGGTAATATTCTTCAACAAAAAGATGTCTACTCTACTTTTTCATATATTTCAGATTTCGGATTATCGATTTCAATTGACCAAACATCTTCATCATCGTCAAATAAAAGAGATATATTTGGAGTTTTACCATATCTAGCACCAGAAATTTTAAGAAGTGAAGCACACACAATTGCATCCGATATCTATAGTTTTGGAGTATTGATGTCAGTTATATCAACAGGTCGACCGCCAATCAGTAATTTAGGACATGATACAGATCTTGCTATAACAATATGCCAGGGTTTGAGACCCGCATTTTCTAACAATACTCCCAAATTTTACATTCGATTAGCATATCAATGTATGGACACTAATCCGGATAAACGGCCAAATGCTGAAGAAATTAGAAAAGTTATTAAATTTTGGGAAGATTCATTTGATGATAGATTTTTTAATGAAAATTCTAAAAAATATAGTTATTCTGATGAAAAGATTGCTAAATTAAGATCAATTCGAAATGAATTTCTTGAAATGGACAAAACACCATTTGATCCTTCAACAATTACGACTGCCATTCATCCAGATGCTGTTTATACCAGCAGATTATTACATTTTGCAAATCTTCCAGAACCTGTGAATTCTAGGAAAGTTACAATAATTGGCAATTATAATGGCAAGTATTAATCGTTTGATTATTGAATTTCAAGGCTTTGGATAAAATTGACCATGTTAATAAATATTTTATTAGATTCCCATCAAGTTGATTTATCAATACCAGATGAATTTTCAGATAAAGATGAAGATTCTGAATGAACATATAATTATTTAATTTATAAAATTGAAGAACTTTGATAATCGATCGTCAAAATAAATGATAATTTTTAAAAAATTTTTTAGAATAAATTATTTTAAATCACCTCTACCTGTTATTATAGTAAAGAAAATGTCTTCTAATGATTTACAACCAAGTAAAAAAATTCGATTAAATCCAGGAGAAACTGAACCCGTTTCTACGACTTCTTCTATTGCTACCGATAATATAAAGGATGAAACTATAAATACGAAGAATGTTGATGCTATTGACATTGTTGACAATGCTAATAATGCTACTATTACTACTACTAGCAATGCTAATAATGCTACCACTACCGCCAATGCCAATAATCGAAATAGCTGGAAAACGCGAGAACGAGATGTTGGGATAACTGAATTTATTGATTCTTCTATTCCGGGTTTTTTTGGTTTAATTAAAGAAAGGTATATATCATCATATATATATATACTTTAATATATAAATATTTATATAATATTTATATAATATATATATCTTTATCTATTATAAATTTGTTTAATATAGAAATTTATATCTATGCATATAATGTGTGTGTGTATATATTTGATTTAATGATAGATATTCTGATTTTTTGGTTTATGAGATAGATAAGAAGGGAAATATAGTTCATCTCACCAACTTTGATATTAATCATGCTAATGATTATAATAATATCAAGGAAGAAAAATCAAAAAAGACTAATCAAGAGGTAATCTTTTCTCGAGAAAAATCAAATTATTTTATTTGTGCTATTAATAACAACAATAATAACATATTAATGATTTTTTAAGGAAGTAATATCGATTGAACAAATTTATCAAAATATGGCAAATTTACTTGATCAAGAGACAACAGATTTAGTCAAAGACTTAATTAATAATGGTGAAAAAGAGAAGAGCAAGGAAGAATATGGAGATACTAATAATGGTAGTAGTAGCAAAATTGCAAGTGAAAGTGGAAACAGAGGTGGAAGAAACAAAGATGGCGATAATAAAAATTCATTATTTGTAATGACAAAGGTGAAAAAAATTTACATATAATATTAATTTTTCTTTATAATATCACCAATAATAATTTATATATATTATGAAAGCCAATAGCAGATAAAGAAACTAGAACAACTATTCATCATTTTTTTAAAAGGCATTTTGGCAATAAACTTAATACTGAAACAAAGGAGGAAGGAATGATTAAGATTAGTTTCCATACAAATAAATCTAGATGTATGCTATGATATGTATATTACATGACATGATTTATGATGATGTGATTGGATATTTGAAGATTTGTTTATATTATTTTTAATCTAGATACAAGAAATAATAGAAAAGAAGAAGCAGCAATTTGGGACAAATTAGGGGGGTCTTATTGTCAATTTGTATTATATAAAGAAAATAGAGATACAATGGAAGCTGTGAATAATTTATGTAAAGCTTTAAAGTTAGTAATTGGTAATTTTAGTAAATTTTTTTATGATAATAATTTAGAACAGCATTAATAATAATATTATTATTTTAAATATTTGATAGAGTTCCATCAAAAGTATTTTCATATGCTGGTACTAAAGATCAACGCGCGATTACTACTCAGAAAGTTACAGCATCCAAAATGAAAATCGAGAGATTGGCTGGACTGAACCATACACTTAAAGGAATGAAATTGGGAAATTTCGAGTAAATTTTGCTTTAGTTATTTAATTTATTTTAATGTGTATAAAATGCTATGTGTAATCCACCTAACCAGTAAAGGCTTTCTTCTTTAGGTATATTAAAGATCCATTAAAACTTGGTGATCTTAATGGAAATCACTTTGCTATCATTTTAAGGTAATGTGATATATTAATGAATTAAAAAATTTATAAAAGGATAAGATAGCGTGTTAAAGGAATAATTTTATCAAAAAAAAAATTTATATATTTTAGAGATGTTAAAGTCGATTCTGTAGAAACCATTAAAAGATCAATAAAAACTTTAGAAGAAAAAGGATTTATCAATTATTATGGTACATATAAATCATACCACACAATAATTTTCAAAACAATAATTAATATAATTAACCTCTTGATTTAATAGGAATGCAAAGGTTTGGTACTTCATCAATAGGTACACATGAAATTGGTAGAGCGTTATTACAAAATAATTGGGAAGAAGCTGTTGATTTATTATTAAGACCACGTATAGGAGGTACATATTAATAATGATATATTTTGTGTGTATATATATATAGAATAATAATTAGCTAAACTGTCTGTTATAATTTTAATGTGATAGAGCGACCAGACATAGCAAGAGCTAGGCAACATTGGCAGGAAAATAAAGATGCAAAACAAGCATTAGAATTATTTCCTAGAAGATGTATTGCCGAATATCAAATTTTATCATCATTTGTAAAGACTGGACATAATAAAGATTGTTATGGAGCTTTTATGACCGTATGTTGAATGTAAAGCGATTTATAGAATTTATTATTATAAGGATAATATTATTAATAATGATATAATTATTATTATTATTATGATATAAAGATACCAAGGAATCTTCGTCTTATGTATTTACATTCTTATCAATCATATATTTGGAATACAATTGTTTCCGAGAGAATACGCGTTTATGGGTGTGATAGCCCAGTTGTTGGAGATTTAATAATTGTCGATAAAGATTTAATAAATAATGATAATGATGACGAGGTCGCCAGTGTTAACGGTGTCGGTGGTGATGATGGAAAATATGAGAAGGAAGATAATGACTTTATGACAAATTCCGATGATCTAAAGGTAAGGATCTGAATTTAAATTTTTGGAAAATTAATTAAAAAAAATTAATTTCTAATTAACAACATTTTATTATTTAAAGGAAATAAAAGTGAAAATTTTAAAAAAAGAAGATTTGTCAAATTATACTATCAATGATGTAGTATTGCCTTTACCAGGTTACTCTGTTATTTATCCTGATAATATAATATTTGATAAATATAAAGAATTAATGTATAGAGATAAATTGGATCCTCGTTCAATGAGAAGAAGTGTAAAGTGAGTTCTTTTATTTATATATAAATTATTTGAGAAATTAATATAATTAATAGTCAATAATCATTATTATAGAGATTGTTCATTATCTGGATCTTATCGTCAAATAATTGGGAAACCAAATGATTTATCATGGTACAAATTTATATATGAACAATGATAATATCAATTGTTTTGATTAATGAATTTTATTTATTATTGACTGATATAATATTAAACTATTTTTAGGAAATTGTTTAAATATGATGAGGTGAATGTTTCATTATCATTAACTGATTTGGACATAATAAACGGAAAAGTAGAACCTGAAAGTGTAGAAGGTGATTGATTGATTGATTGATTGATTGATTGATTTATTTATTTATTTTTATTACAATAAATAATCAAACTTTGATTTTTAGATGGAAAATATGTTGCACTTCGTATAAATTTTTCGTTATCAACGAGTAAATATGCAACAATGACATTAAGAGAGTTGATGAAATCAACAGATGAATATGATAATGAGGAGAAGAAAGAAATTAGCTGATTGTTGATGTTGATATTGAAAATACTTTTTATAATTCAAAATTTTTCCTTTTAAATAAATTTTATTTAATTATTTACATTATTTCTAATTTATTACATTTTCCCATCCCGCAAAAAAAAACATTATATTAAAGACCTGAATCGTTTAAATGAAAAACTTCTTCCAATAGACAAATACATTATTCTTTCAGCGTAAATTGAATAAGTAAAACCCAACATAAGGATACAAACAAACTCGCCTATTCTTCTATCATGATTTAATTCAATATAAATAGTACTGATTAATGGTACTATACACATGGAAGTAAACATAAAAGAACAAATAGAACCTTGTCTGATTGCTAAAGAATGTTTAACTTTAGATAATCCAAATAAATAAACTCCAACATATAAATAAATTATTATTGCTAATGATGTTATTATAATAGTTGATATATAATCTGATTTAATAATTCTTATTGTTGTTAAAGTTGAGGATGTTAATGCAGTTGTATTTGATGGGTCAAGTGATGACATTGTAGAATCTACAATTACAACTTTTCTATAAATTATTCCTACTATGCTTGAAATCATTGATGCTAATGAATAAAAGATCCACATAATTGAACTAAATAACCCAATTTTTTTTTGATTTAAATCAATTTTTTCCAATTCCATTCGATATAAACTCCTTCCTCCGGACAGGTAAATTTCTTTTAATGTTTTTAATTTTATTAAGCCTATGAATGAGGTACTTCCCGAGAAACCAAGCGCAAGTATAAACAAGCTATATATTCCATAAAAGGCGCCTGCTATTATTGAACTTAAGCTAAATAATAATGTTAAGATGTACAAAATAATAAATTGTCTTTGATATGGAAACACTTGTCCAACTGTTGTTGTTGTTCCTTGAGTCTGATTCTGACTTTGTTGTTGCTGTTGCTGTTGCAGCAATACAGTTGTTGTTTCTGCAATATTTACTTGGTTCAGATTTGAGGTTCCCGCCTCTTGGTCAACTGTTTCTTGATTTCGATTTATTAGAAATCTTGCAAAAAAGCCATTAAACGACATTTATTTATTAATATTAATATTATTTTTTTGTTGTTGTTAAAGAATATAAGGTTTAAAAATGAAAGAAAATTTAGTTCATCCAATTAACTCATAATGATGATGATCTGACTGAAAGTTAAATAACACTAATATTAAAATCATTAAAAAAAATTTTCGTCATTCATTGTTATCGAAAAATAATAAATTGTAATTATAATTATAATTATCTTTATAAAAATTACGAACTATTATTATGTTTACAATTCCCAATGCAAAATAAAAATTTATAAATGAGAACGGATTTGGAATTTTCGAAAAATTTAAAAACAAAAACAATAATAAACGTGCTCCATTCCATTGACGAATAACTCATTTGGCTAGTTATCTGATTAGATTAGATGATCGATAAATTTATTTTACTACGAATTAATATTAATATTTCGCCAATTTACTTTTTTTTTTTTTTTCTGTGCTATTACCATCAATGCATAATTATCATAATTGGATGACAACTAACAAACATCTCCAAAAAAAAAAAACTGGTAATTGATAATTTTTCAAGATTTAATTTAATCATTCGTTATATTTTTTTAATCATTATCTCTAGGCGTTCTTTTTCGCCTTAATCTATAACGATAATGAAAAATAAAAGAATCTCTGATTTATTGTTAATGTTTCATCTTATGCTAACTACGCCCATCATCATCATTAATATTGCAAGTCTTTATTACACGTGATATTTTTTGTCATATGATCTCTTTTTTTTGACAGCTTGTCGAATATTCTAGATTTTAAAAAATGGTTTCCATCTATGAAAATCATATATATATATATATATATAGCAAATCGTTGATAATGGCAAACAATAACAATTACAACAATTTAATTAAAACAAATAAAGTATATCGCAACATGTCACAGGAAAATAAAATATCACGCCAGAAAATAAATAAATAAAAATTATTTTATAGATCGTAAAAGTGCATCTATTATTCTACCAATTGACTAACATATTTAAAGATGATCGGACTTTTTCGTCTTCTAAAAACATCCGGCTCCTCCACCGGATGATAATCTAATCATGTCAAAATGGATTAGTATTACTCGCTGGACATACGACCAATGTTTAACAAGTAGTTAATAATACTGATATCAAAAAAATAAACAATATCCGAGATTATATATATCAATAGCGAAGGCCTGAAAATTTAAAGATTCGATCTCAAATGGGTTCTTCTGGTGTCAATTGTTCAATTGTCATTAAATCTACAGATTAGGGAAGAGAAAGTAGCCATTATTCATTTTACAAATAAAAGCGAGAGTAAAATACAACTATCGTTTCGTCATGAATCATCTTGGCGAATTCTACCCATGTATCCGTAAACCACTTGAAATCAAGGTCCTAAATCGAAGAGGATAGAGACTTTGGTATCATAGATTATTGAATTCATGATGAATCAAATAAGCGACTCCACACAAAATGGCGAAAACATGATCAAAAATGACGTTTTAGAAATAAAACTAGTAATAGTGGCTTAGAAGTGTTTTTCAAATCTTGTGCAATAAAAAATTGTGATACAACATTATTAAGAATCACATCCGTTTGTTACATCCTTTCAAACAAACGTGTCAATATTATTGGTATTTATTAAACTTTCATTATCTTACAATAACAATACATTAATAAAAAAAGTTAAAACACGCACGCTCGCATTCTATTCTTGTAAAAAAATCTTCCTACATACACAAAATTGGCATTTAATAATTAATATAATAAGATAAACAAACTCATTTTTCTATATAAAATAAGGTTTTTTCCATTTTTTTTTTTTTAGAAAAATTTTTCTACAAATTTTTTTTCAAAAACAATTTAGAAATTCACATGGCATTCATAGACGAAACCACACCATTTGCATTAGTCACATTATCAAGCTTTATACTTTTATCAATTCAAAAAATTAGAAAACTTAAAAGTAAAATTAAAAAATTTCACGACAATGATGATAAGGAAGATCATATAATTAACAATTATTTTTCAACAATTAAAAGAGACTCGATTAAAACTTTAATTTCATTAATTCAATCAATATTATTCACATTTTTATTGGGTTGGAGATTATATTATAAATTTAATAATGACGAAGAAGAAGAAGACATTGAAGAAGACTATGATCATAATGATATTTTATTCGCTGCAACCTTTTCAATTTGTTGGGTAAATATTTTATCAATCTCTTTTACGTTTCATAATTGAATGGCCTTCGTCGTATATATATATTAATCATTTTCTTGCTTTAATTTCTTAAAGTATTATTGTACAGTGTTATCAGCTTTGACTTTTTTCAAAAGATCAAAAAAATTAAATAGCACTCTTAACAAACACTTGACTATAATATATTTCACATCGTTTCTATCTTTACTATGGCAAATTCGTAATCTTTCAGATGGTGCCGAGAACAAAGGAAATGATTGTTCTCTCGACAAATGTAACATTGACATCCCATTCGTCATCACCAACACAATCTTATCTTTACTTGCCACCACCATAGCAATAACCACGCCAAGGGGTCCTCCAGAATACGATGATAATGGTCGTCTGGTTTCTCCAAACAGTTATTCCTCAATATGGGATTTCATCACTTTCTCAACAATGAATCCGTTGATGTGTAAGGCTTACAAAAAAGATTCAATAAGCGATTCTGATCTTGATCAACTGCCACGTGATTACCGCGCCTCGACCTTGTTTAAAAAATTCGAGAAATATTCATCTCCAAGTTACAGTAATATTAGCAATAGTAATAGCGGTAGTAAGAAACATGGATTATTATATAAAATTTGGAAAAGCAATCGCAAAAATGTTGCTTATCAAATTACAGCTACAGTAATTGGAGCATCCTTATATTATGTTCCTATAACTTTTCTTTACAGTTTTTTAAATTTCATTCAAACAAACCCTTCTTCACTTGGATGGGGATTCGTTTGTATTTTTGGTATGTTAATATCAAATATCTTGTATTATATTTCAACCACCCAACAATGGTATTGGAGCGCAAGTGCAATGCAAGTTAGTATCAAAGGAATGCTAAATGCTGAAATCTTTTCAAAAAGTTTAAGATTATCATACAATGCAAATAATGATGATGAAGCGGAAAAAAATAGCAAAGAAGAACAAAAGGATTCATCATCTGATATGAAAGGTGTTGGAAAAATTACAAATCTGATGACCGTTGATTCTCAAAGAATTGGTCAATTTTCAATGTGGTGGACAACTGCTTTGATCGATTGTCCAACTCAAATTACAATTGGTCTTTATTTCTTGTACAGATTATTAGGTGTTGCTAGTATCTTTGGTTTTATGATTATGATAATTATCATACCTATAAATCAACAAACTGCAAAATATTTCGCTAAAACTCAAGAAAAATTAATGAAAGCAAGAGATAATCGTGTCAATCTAATGAACGAAGTAATTAATTATATATTTTTTTAATAATTTTGGGAGCTAAAACATTTATTAATTATATACAATTGATTTTTTAAAAGTTATTACAAGGTATTAGAATGATAAAGTTTTTCGCATGGGAAAAAAATTGGACAAAGCAAGTTTTAGGTAACATTAATTATTTCAATACAAAATACGAATGAAAATTAATCAATTCTTTTTTTCTAACATCTTCGATTATCTACCCAATATAATTTAGAAACAAGAGAGGTTGAATTGGTTCATCTTCGTAAAAACTTTTTGTTTCTATTAGCATTTAATTTTATTTGGCTATTATCACCAGTCCTGGTATCTATAGTATCATTTGCTGTGTTTTCAAAAATTCAAGGAAATGTTCTCACACCATCTATTGTTTTCACTTCAATTGCCATCTTTAATGAAATTCGTTTTGTCTTGAATCAATTACCTGAAGTTCTAATGCAAGGATTTCAAGCCTACGTCAGTTTAAAAAGAATTGAAAAATTCTTGGATTCCGAAGAAATCATAGTCATTGACAATAATAAAAGAGGTGACAATGACGATGACGATGACGGTGACGGTGATGTTAATGAGGATAGAATTATAGTAAAACCAAAAAAAAGAATAGCTTTTGAAAATGCTAATATTTCTTGGGGAAAACCATCATCATCTCCTTCGACGAATTCAAAAATTGACTTCATCATGAAAGATTTAAACATCGAATTCCCCTTAGAAAAATTAAGTATAATATGTGGTCCAACTGGGTCCGGAAAAACTTTATTACTAATGGCACTTTTAGAAGAAACAAATATCATTAGTGGAAAAGTATATTCTCCAAGATCATCATCTAATAACGATGTTTTCAATCAAAATAATTCGTCATTGTTGCCTTCAAATTGGATAGTTGATAATAGTGTTGCTTACGTAGCTCAAGAATCTTGGCTTCAAAATGCCTCTATACGTGATAATATATTATTTGGATCACCCTATATCGAAAAACGTTATAATGAAGTGATTAGTATGTGTGCGTTGACTAGAGATTTTGAAATTTTGGAGGATGGCGATTTGACTGAGGTTGGAGAGAAAGGGCTTACACTTTCTGGTGGACAAAAGCAACGTTGCGCATTAGCAAGGTTTGATATATAATAATTGATTAATTGATTTATTTGTTGATTTGTCGATTTATTAATGACTAATAATGATTTGATTATTTTGATATTATTTATAGAGCTGTTTATTCAAGAGCAAAACATATTTTAATAGATGATGCTTTAAGTGCTGTTGATGCTCACACAGCTAAACACTTGATTGATGATTGTATTACTGGCTCATTGATGAAAGGTCGTACCAGGATTCTTGTTACTCATCATATTGGACTCGCATTATCAAAAGCTGATTACTTGGTAAAATATATTGAGATTATTATTATAGAATTAACAAGAGTTGCCTTTTACTCCTTCCTCTCTTTGTTCCTCTCTTTTAATCATTTGATTTTTTTAATAGGTTGTATTAGAATCTGGTAAAGTGGTAACAAATGGTGTAGTCGATGATTTACGTTCTTCTGGCGAATTGTCTTCTGTGTTGAAAGAAGCAGATAGCGGTGTTGACTTTAATGATTTAGCTGAAGCTGCTGCTGAAACAATTCCACTAGTAATTAATAGCAATAATAAAAACATTAGTAAAATTATGTTACATCAAGGTGAACCTTCAACAGCTTCATCTATCACCGTAGTTAATAATGGTGATAATTCTATATCAGAAGAATATGACGATGAAAGTAACAATAGTAGTGATGTTTCTTCAATAAGATCGGATATTGATGTTGAAGGATTATCATCAGAAACTTCTACTATTAAAGAGCAAGATATTAATAATAATGGTAATAACAGTAAAGGTGGTGGTAGTGGCAACATTATCAAAAGATTATTATTTAATAACATTAATAATAACAATAACAAACAATCGAGTGGCAGTAAATCTTCAACTACTGCAATACAAATTGATTCTAAAAAACCAAGAGTTTTGATTAAAGAAGAAGGTAAATATTTAAATATTCTTTATTTCTCTATGATTATTTATGAGTATCTTATTAATATATTTCTACAAACATATATTTTTAGAGAGAGCAAAAGGAACAGTTAAATTGAACATTTATTTGAAATATTTTAATGCAAATGGTAATTTATTATTTTGGATTATGGTGATTTTCTTATTTTTTACAACAAGAGCTGCACAAATTATTGAGAGTTGGTGGCTTAAAATATGGTCAAGTTCAAGTAGTAAAGATCCTAGAAATGTGACACAACAATTATTCAATATGACAACTTACAATATTAATAATGACAACGATAACAACAACGTACTATTATATGATTTATCGTCAGTTCCAGATTTTGATTTAGATGATTCAAATTATTATTTACTACCATCCATTACCAATAATAATTACACAACTATTCGAGGCGACAATCATGATGTAGATTATTATTTCAACATTTATGTATTGATTACAATGGCATCCGTTGTACTTGGTATCATGAGGTTCTTATGGTTGTATTATGGTTCACTAAGAGCTTCTAGAAATCTTTACGAACAATTACTTCACAGAGTTATTAGAGCACCTCTTAGATTTTTTGACACTACACCTGTTGGCAGAATACTTAATCGATTCAGTAAAGATTTTGAGACAATCGACAGTATTTTAATTGGCGACTTGGCTTTATTCTTAAACAATGTGATTATGATGATCAGTACTGTAATGGTTATAACGGCTATAACAAAAGAATTTCTGATCGCTTCGTCATTGTTTGGCATATTGTATATTATTGTTGGATCATTGTATGCCAAAGCTTCCAGAGAATTGAAGCGAATAGACTCGGTAACAAAGTCACCATTATATTCACATTTTGGTGAAACACTGTTGGGTATTACTACAATTAGAGCATTTGGGGCAAAAAAGAAATTTATGATTGACATGTTAACAAAAATTGATAATAATCATCGACCATTTTATTTAATGTGGTGTGTTAATCGATGGCTTAGTATTCGTTTCAACGTTATTGGGTCATTTTTGAGTTTCCTTGCTGGCTTGTTTGTTTTGTTGAATATAGATCATATTGATGCAGGTTTGGCCGGGTTGTCGTTATCATTTGCCATGACATTTTCAAAACAAATTATGTGGTCAGTTAGGAAGTATACTGCTTTGGAGATGAGCTTGAATGCGGTAGAACGAATTGATGAATTTCTTCATATTCCACAAGAAGCACCGGAAATTGTTAATCCACGACCACCAGCTGCTTGGCCACATAGTGGTAACATTCAATTTGAGAATGTGGAGGTCAAGTATGCACCTGATTTGGAACCTGTTTTACATCATATTAGTTTTAATATTCATGGCCAGGAGAAAATTGGATTAGTTGGAAGGTATTTATTGTTTTGTTTGTTTGTGAATTTGCGAATGTGTTGGTTAATGTTATAATTAATCATTTGATCGAGAATAAAACGTTAATTAATCTTTTTTTTATAAATAAATACTTGATTTAGAACTGGATCAGGCAAATCTACAATATCATTAACTTTATTTAGATTTATTGAACCATCAGATGGAAATATTTTTATCGATAATATTGACATTGGAACTATTGGTGTCGAAGACCTTAGATCCAGAATCACAATTATTCCACAAGATCCAATATTATTTACAGGTTTGAATTAAATTTTTTTTTTTGGAATTCATTATCCATATTATCATTATTACTAATGATTTTAATACCTAATTATTATTTATTTATCTTTTTTATTTAATTATTCAGGAACGATAAGATCAAATTTAGATGCATTTTCACAATACAGAGATTACGAAATTTATGAAGCATTACAAAGAGTTCATTTATTGCCTTCATCAACAACCAAAGCAACTTCCTCCTCATCGCCATCAATTTCATCATCAAAAAGAAATAACGATGATGATACATCAATAATAATGACAAATGATGATGATGTTAACAACGACAATATTAGCATGTTTAGCAACTTAGATACACCTATTACAGAAGGCGCAGGTGATCAAGTGGAGGAGTCATTAAGAGAAATTAGTAAAGAGAAAGATAATGAAATAATTGCATATAAATATACAAAAAATTATTTTCACTCATTCCATTTCGTTTATTTATTTACCCATTTGGGAACTTTTTTGTGAAATGCAAGTCTGATGTATTAGAATCCAATTATGCTTCAACTTGCAAAAGATATTGATAGAAATGTGTATCAACTTTTGCCTTACAGCAAATTGGTTAAATAGTAGGATAATAATAATGGATCCAGCTTTTTTAAATCGCCGATCACCTTGTATCACGGAGATTTTTATAAAAAATGAAGATAAAAATATGATCTGTAATCTGCTATTTTACAATGAGTGGTGCTTTTGTGAGGGAGAATAAGAGAATATATGCATTCTGAGAACGGGCTAAAAGGTTTGTCAACCATCTTATAAATTCGATAGCAACAATCAAGAAATTGATGGTATATGGAGAAAGAATACAATGGTGAAATTACTTTCTTAACCCAAGAATGAGTTTTCCCCAGCTGATCCTTACATTCTAGCAATTTCAAGTATTTCGACACCAAAATTCATATACCTTTTAGCACGCTTGCATGCCAACTTTTCCATGGGCCTGATTTGGAATTTCTGGTTCAGTCAGGGGACAAAGCATTACCATTAACTAATTTTGGGTCATGATGAGTCCTGGATAAATATTATGAAAAAATTGTGAAATCAGGAGAGAGTATTCAAGTGGAAAGAGAAATAAGCACGCTATCCTTTACTAAAAAAATTATAAATCAACATCTGACAGTGAAAATAAGAAGCTTATTTTTTTTTGATGAACGAAATCACTTCATACAATGCAGGTATACATAACTTCTGCTTCAATTAGGGTTTTGCACCAAAGCTGATAAAAATTGACAATATCGAGAGCACTGACTTCAAATTTTATTATGGTGGATCTAACATTATATGGAAAGGTAAACATTTGTATTACAAAGATCAAAATTTAGTCATCACCAATGTAATGTGATCAGTAGGGAACATGTCCCCTCAAAATGTTGTTAATATTAATATTAATGTGTATAGCAATCGACACGTTAAAATTTCCGTTAGATCACATTGTTTATTAAGTCAAAAACGATCTTGAGGTATTTCTTTATTAAAGTATATAAGTCTTGGCTCACTATCTTCTGTTAAAGTCTGACATTTTACCCCGTAATAAGCCATTTATTAATGATAGGTATAAATGAAAACACAATTGACTCTTAACACCTTGAAGTACATTCATCTTTAGGTATAACGTGTTATTTCTTTAATAGGTGATTTTCTTTTTAAATGAATATTTAAAATCTTATTGAATGAATTAATGAAAAATTTTATTAAAAATGTTAGAGATGTGAAGAGTTATAATATACCATGCTAAGTTGGAAAATAATTGCAGGTGTCAAAACATATCTAAATATAATACTCAAAAAGAAAATAACTGTTTAATTTAAGAATGAAATAAAGACAAGTATAAACTCAAATAGTTTTTTATTATGGTAAATGAAATCAATTTTCTTCAAATTTAGAAATTATATTATATCTTCTAGCAGTATTTGCAGATTTATACTAAACAATAGGCAATTTGAGAGTCAATAATCCTAATTATATAATTCAAAATAAAACTCCAACACAATTTTTTTGACAGCTTAACCACAATTACTATTACCACCAAAATGCAAAAAACACCAGCTGTTTTCCTGTTGATACATATGATGCCTGATTTCATTTGGTAATATGTTTTAATTTCTCTAAGGGCAAGATAAAGAGTTTAAAAGAGATGATAAAGTGTTAAAATTTTATATATATCACTATGAATCTGAGTGATATTTCTTGTTGAATGTCTTGTTTTTTTAATGCTATTACAAGAACACAAGTATGTTCTTAAAAGGTAATTACATAGTCAATTGGTTCATATGTAATGCTTCCAATAATAACATCTTCTGCCTTTAACAAAAGACTTTCACATCCACTCTGGAGTGCACATGTGAGACTGCCCTTTTCAAAACAAATTAAATTTCAAATTAAACTTTGCCACAGTGGATTTTTGTCATCAACAGATTTCCCTTTTTTTTTATTAACATTAATTAAATATCAATGTATTTTGTCTTAACGGATTTTATTCATATTAATAATAACAATAATAAATGATAATAATGATGAATTCATTCACGGATTTTTGATGGGGATTTTTCTATGTTAATATATTTGACTTTTGACATCAGGAAAATTATGTTTTATATTAATAAAAACATGTGATTCTGAATTGGAGAGAATTTATTTTTGAAATAAAACAAAACAAATTATTAACAAATATGAAAATAATGAAAAATAATTATTCACCAATTCTTCAATTTTAACCTTATTATTATTATTATTATTATTATTACTATTATCATTGTAATTAATTAATTAGCCAACTATTTAATTTACTTTGTTAAAATTATATTTCATGATTTAATAAGCTATTATTACTTAAATTCAGCTTGCAAATTCTTCATTTAATATTCTACTAGTATGATATGCTAA